CCTTCTTCCCTGGACGTCCTGTCCCAGCTGTGCTCCAGGTAGACTGGGGCCTCACAGTCTACCCTGTGATCAAGGGAACGGAGGCCCCATGTCACCGCATATCTTGGTCACTGCCGTAGCCCAGACCTGACCCTGTGCCTTGTACCCAGAGCTGCTTTATTCTCAGACTGATGGCAGAACCTCAGCTTTGGGCCTCCCTTTTCTTCCTTCTTCCTGCAGAAGAGCCAGTGCTGGAGCTGGGTTCCCCTGAGCGCCTTGCTGGTCCCAAATGGCCAGAAGCTTTGGCCTCTCAGGAGCCCATGAGCAAGGAGTGGGCCATCGTGCCAAGGCTCTCGTGGAGCTGATGAGACCAGAAGGGGCCTCTCTGTGCCAAGGGGACCCTGGACCCAGAGCACTCGCCAGGCTCCAGGCCTGCCACCACCCGCCCCCTGCCACCCATCCCAGCTCCAGGCCAGGAGCAGGGCTGGCCCAGCGCAGCCTGGGATCCTGGAGAGACACCCCTCTTACCCTCTTAGCTGGCTTTCTGGAGTCAGCCCCTGCCAAGGTGTGCGGTGGCCGCAGGGGGCGGAGAGCGCCTGGATCTTTCCCAGGAAAAGCAGAAGGTCCTGTAGGCTCTGAGGGCCAGGGTAGGAGGGAGACTACATCCTGCTGGGCTCCTCGCCTCCACTTCTGCCGCCACCTGCTGCCGCCACGGGCTTCTTCCTCCCTCTGCCTCGGAGAAGTTTCTTGGAGAGAAAATAGCGCTGAGGGGAGAAGGGACAGAGCCTGAGCTGCTGTTTGTGGAGTCTCTGTGTGTGTGTGTGCGCATGTGTGTGCGCGTGTGTGGCCCCAGGGGAGGCTCCTGAGCCGTGGTTGCTGGGCGACCCACCTAATCCTCTTTCCCAGAGCTGCCTGATCTGTGGACCCGGGCGTGGTGAGCGCGCTGTGTCCAGATGGCACTCTGGGCCCTCCCCCTGCCACCAGCGCCCATGCTCTGCAGAGCCTCCACGCACCTGCTGCGGGCAGATGCTGCCAGCTACCGGGTGGGCGGTTCCTGGGGGAGGGCCCCCCTTCCCACCTCCTCCCGCAGATCAGACAGGTGAATCTGGGTGCTGAGGGTGGGGGCCAGGGAAGAAACGTCACCCCCTCTGCACTGCCACATCCCTAGATGCCCTCCTCTCACTCCATTTAGAAGCGTTCCTCCTGACTTTCAGGAGCAGGAGCGAGGTTTAGGAAATAAGCCAGGGGAAGGGGAGCAGAAGACTCCAGACCCCCACTTGCCTAGTGGTTGAGGAGGAAAAGCAGATGGAACCAGCTGCCGACCAAGCACAAAGCAGGCGTCACCTGGGGAGCAGGTGCAAGGCAGGCAGGGGCAGCCTGAGTTGCCTGGTCTCATCAGCCAGAGCTTAATTTCTTCTTGGCTGTGCTTTCTGCTTTATTTTCAGTACAATCAAAACGTTTGTGTCCAAAAGTCACCCCACCACCACCCGGGACCTGGTCCAGCATCACCTAAGGTCCTTATAATGAAGCTCCGTGCCCATTACAGCACCCCATAGCTGTGGGGCAGCAGGCATCTGTTTCGGTGCCCACTGGTGTCTGTTAGGCACAGGATGCCCGTGGGTGGCCCGCAGCCAGAAGGGCCTGCACGGGACAGAGTGTCCTGAGAGCAGAGAGAAGCAGGAGGCCCAGATGGGCCCATGGGGCACTGGAGCACAGGTTGCTTCTTGGCTAGCCCCAGGCAACTCAAAGTCGACACTTCGGGGCTAGGCGTTTGGTGTGGCAGTTAAGACCCTGCCTGGGACACTCGCATCCCGTATAACAGAGACTGGGTTTCAGCCCCAGGTCCCCCAGTTCCAGCTTCCTGCAGCAGGTGATGACTCATGTGGTTGGGTTCTTGCCACCTGTGTGTTCTGGGCTCATGGCTTCAGCCTGGCCCAGGCTTGACTGAAGCTACAGGGGTTTGGAGAGTGAGCCAGTGGATGAGAGTTCTCTCTCCCTCCTTCCTTTTTCCCTCCCTCCCTCCTCTCCATCTCCCTGTCCCTCATCCTCTCTATCTCCTGCTCCCCCACTCCCTATCTCTCTCTGCCTTTCCTTTTTTTTCTTTATTTTATTTGTTTATTTTTTTGACCGGCAGAGTGGACAGAGAGAGAGAGAGACAGAGAGAAAGGTCTTCCTTTTGCCATTGGTTCACCCTCCAATGGCCGCCGTGGCTGGCGCACCACACTGATCCGAAGGCAGGAGCCAGGTGCTTCTCCTGGTCTCCCAGGGGGTGCAGGGCCCAAGCACTTGGGCCATCCTCCACTGCACTCCCGGGCCACAGCAGAGAGCTGGCCTGGAAGAGGGGCAACCAGGATAGAATCCGGCGCCCCGACCGGGACTAGAACCCGGTGTGCCGGCGCCGCAAGGCAGAGGATTAGCCTGTTGAGCCGCGGCACCGGCCTTCTCTCTGCCTTTCAAAGAAATAAAATAAATTCAGAAACAGCTGCCAGAGCCAGGCTCCGAGTATGGCCACATGCCTGGGCAGTGGCGTCCAACAGGGACATCCTTCCCAGGCCCTCTCACAACTGGGGGCCTGGTGAGGGTGGGGTGTGGGGGAGAGGAGGTAGGCCACCCAGAGGGCCGGCTTACAGACAGCTCCCCCTGCCGCTGTTCCCCTTTGCTGAGGGGCTGCTCTCTGGGGTCAGGGAGGCATGATTACAGAGGTTCCTGTGTCCCCGAGTCCCTCTGGGGCAGCCCCGTAGCACATACCTTCTCCCTCTCTAGGAGGTCCAAGAGCGAATGTTTACTGGGTCAAAGCTCCCGGAGCTGGGCCTGGCCTCTTCTGCCCCAACTCAAGCAGAACTGGTGAGAAGGGGCGGCCGGGCCCCTTGCTGCCTTCCCAGGGGGTCAGAGCTCCTCCCCACAGTCCCTTCCTGTCACAGATGTGCCCTCGTCCCAGGGGCATTGTCTCACACCTCTGCACGGGGCGCCTCCCAGCTGGGACCAAGTGTAACCCCCGTGGGAACGCCCCTGTGACTCTCCTTCGGACCTCCCTGCTCTCCCTCCTCCCCACCCTTCCTTCTGCACATGAACTTGGTCCTCATTACTCATGGAACTATTTGCAAATTTGCCTACTCACCAGAATGTACCGTGACCCCAGGATGAGTGGCACTTTGGTGATGGCAAAAACCTCGCCTCACCTGGTGAACATGTTCCCAGCTGGGCCGGACAGTGTGAAGTCCTGCCTTCTCACGTCGGCTCTCACACTCTAAGCAACCGTCTTTCCCACGACCTGTCTAGTGCCACGTTTTGCTTGTACCTTTGTGTTTTCTGTTGCTGATTTGGCTGCTTAAAATGGCCCCGGCATAGCGCCATTGTGTCTAGTGATCACAAGAAGGCTGTGACAAGGCTGGAGCTCTGGCGCAGTGGGGTAAGCTGCCACCCGCAACACCTGCACCCTGTATTGGAGCATTGGTTCAAGTCCTGGCTGCTCCGCTTCTGATCCAGCTCCCTGCTAATGCGCCTGGGAGAGCAGCGGAGGATGGCCTAAATAGTTGGGCCCTGTCATTCACATGGGAGACCCAAGATGGAGTTCTAGGTTCCTATCTTTGGCCTGGCCCAGACCTGGCTGTTGCCGCCATCTGGGGAATGAACCAGCAGATGGAAGATCTCTCTCACGCTCTCTCTCTCTTCTTCTGCTTTTCAAATAAATAATAATAATAACAAAAGAAAGCCAGGCTGAGCCTTGCAGAGAAAGATGCAGCACATTGCGGCTGAGTTACATGGGCCGGGAGACCATGCTAATGAATCAACCACACATAGTGACTGAGGGGCCTGCACAGAAGCACACGGAGCACACGGCTGCATGCGGCTCAGCCGATGGCCAATGAAGGCCATGGTCAAAGGCTGGCAGGAACCAGACCCCGTCTGTCCCGGCCCTCTCACAATGCTCACGCAGTGCTCACGGCAGCTGCACCCGGCACCACCCCATGCATAGCAAGAACGGCTGTGCAGTGCCGGTTCCCGAACCCGCGATTCAGCATCCCTGAACAGGAAGGAGCTCCTCCAGGGCAAGGAGCCCGAGCCCCAGCACAGGTGAAAGCCAAGTTCACGCGCCTGCGTTGGGCCCATGATTTAGAGACGACAGCCAGAGAGCCTGGGCTTGGTCCCTGCTCTTGGAGCCTGCAGGAGTCCTGCCAGCCGAGTTGTCACAAACTCCAGACCTGCGGACCACAGAAGGCGGGGAGGAGAGGGCTGCGGGGTGCTGAGGTCAGGGGATGCACACCGCAGGGCACGTGAGGGGGTGGGGGTCCACATCCTGCTCCAGGCAGTGCTGCCTTAGACAGGCCGGGGACCCTCTTCTGCTCAGCCTGGAAATGCTCCCCGGAAGAGAGAGGATAATGGGCACACAGCGGGAAGAGGGAGCCAGGCATGCGCAGGAGAGACCAGAAGACCTGAAGGCGCACAAGCCAAACAGGAGCCCTTTGGGAAGGCACCGACGACGTGAGTCCCCTGGGGTCCAGGGAGGGAGAAAAGACGCACACGTCAGAGGTGGGACCTGTGGGAGGAGCTGAGTCACTCGCAGACCAGAAGGCTCCTGGCCACCGCCCGAGTCCCTTGTCCGTGGCTGGGACGGAGCCCCTGAGAGTGGGCGACGGTTTACTTTGGCTCCTGGTGCTGGAGGCCGAAGTCCAGGAGAAGACAGCCTGTCTGGAGGCGGCTGGCCCTGCCGCACAGCAACCACCACTGTCCCCAGGCCAGTCCCAGGAGAGGCGGCGCTCACCCACAGGGACACAGACCCACCTGTAGCGGCTCCGCCCCCCCCCACCAGGAACCTCCAGGGCTGGGAAGCAGGGTCCCAGTGTGTGTCCCAAACCACAGCACCTGGGGTCTCTGTTTTTGTTGTTGTTGTTGTTTTTTTTTTTTTAAAGATTTATTTATTTACTGTTGATTTGAAAGAGCATCAGAGAGAGAGACAGAGATCTTCCATCTGCTGGTTCAATCCTCAAATGGCTTCAACAGCCAGGCCATGCCAGGCTGAAGCCAGGAGCCCAGAGCTCCATCCAGGTCTCCCATGTGGGTGCAGGGACCCAAGGATTCGGGCTGGGCTCAGGAGGTGGTGATACTGACATGGGCCACGGTGGTGGGGCTCTCAGTTGCCCTGTACTCGTGGGGTCCCTGCTGTAGCCATCTGGCCCCTCCCAGCCACCGCTGCATTTTATATAGAGGTCACACCAAGGGCAGGAGTGCGGTGCTCTGATGCAGTCCTTCCTGGGAGTCAGAGTGGATGCCTCGCGGTGGGGTGGGCGCCAGAAAGGCCAAGAAGGAAGGCTTTCCCGGAAGTGTCCTCATAGCCTTGTTAAAGGCTGGAATTCTACTCCCCACCCCAACCCTGAGCCCAAGTGCCTGCTTCTCCCTGGCCACACCCACCCCTCCCAGGCACAGACTTTGTCCCAACCAAGGGTGCAGGGGAGCAGGCAGGGCCCCTCTGTCCTCTGAAAGCTCCCTGCTGGGTGCAGCTGGGTTGGGGTGGCAGAGATGCGCCCGGCGGGCAGCCCGGGCCTCCAGGCTCTCACCCTGTCACCACCCCCACACCCTCCGTGCTGAGAATCCGAGAACCACGAAGCAACGAGGGGCCTGGGTGCCCCTTACTCCCACACCTGCTGGGGTCCAAGTTCAGGAATGGCTTGCAACTTTCTCTGAGAGCACAGCGAGAGTGAGGCGGCCGGGGAATAACCTGTGCTCTTGTTCTCCGAACCACTGCTCCGCCCACGGCTGCCTTTCTGGCATCAACAAATCAGAGCCCCAGGGCACATGCACC